ACCTTTTTAATTCAAATTTTTCATCAGTCTATTTGTAAGAATGGCATTATTTTTATGTTTTTAGTTATCCAGACTTTCTATGAGGAATTAAGGATATAACATCTCCACAATCATTGGCATTAGGCAAGGCTCAGAGCTCAAAAGGAAGGAAAAGTAGATCAGTGATTCTACCTTAGTCTCAGCATTCAGATTTCATTTTAGTGATAGTTATGTATGACCAACCTTAGGAATCCTTTCACATCAAAGCTTTTCTATTATCCATTACCAATTGAATTTATTTAAATCAGAATTAGAAGCAAATCTCCTTTGACTGCAAGACACTGGCCAAATGGTGGAGAGTGATCCTAAAGCTGTCATGAAAGGCATTGCAGCTCTTTCCTGCTTTAATCCCTACACCAAGCATGAAAAAGATAGAAGAAAAAAGAATACAGATTAAGGAAATCACATGTGTGTGTCAGTCTGTGTGTGCACATGTGTCTGTGTGCTTGTGTGCATGGGGGTTGGTATGCAAGTGTCTTAGCATGTTTGCCCCTTGTGTGTGTTTAAGTGTATGCATGTTGTACACGGTACGCACATGAGTGTGTGCGTTTGAATGTGCTCTTTGTGTATGTGGACGTGTGCCCTTGTACATGATCCTGTGAATGTGAGATTATTAGTTCTTTGCGTGTTACTGCTGCCTCCTAGTGGCCCTTATAAAGTTTCCAAGGGCTCAAAAGAGAAGACTTGATGTTGAAATCTCTGCGTCAGCCGTGGTGCAAAAGTTTCCATAAAGAGTATCTCAACTCTGTTAATTAAATCTTATAATAAAGATAAAAAACTGAAGATCAAAGAAGTTGTAGAACTTGGTTTATGCACGTTACACAGCTAATAAGTGACAGCGCCAGATATCCTAAACTTGAGAATTATGTCTTTTGTACTATTCATCCACTGTTACACTATGATGTCTCCCTGTGGCTTCCTAGAGATAACTGTGCACTAAGTCTGGAATTTTACAGTTTGGTGCTGGAATAAAAAAGATTATTTGATAGCTGAGCCTGGGAAGTGCCCTAGTAGTTGGCTGCTACTTTGTATGGGTACTGGCTAAGGATATATATTGATAATTTTGAAGCGTATGAATAGCGCCCCTAACCATGTGTAGCAGTGGGAACTTTTTACAAAGAAGCAATATCAGCATTTGTGTACACATGTGCAGTTGTGATGTAACTCTAACATAAATCATACCCACTCAGACTGCAGAATGTTCATGTATACCCAATTGGTCTTTAAAATGTTAGTGTATGGCTATATAAGGGAGACAAAAACATAAAAATTGTATGAAAGGGTGCAACTATGCCATATTTGGCGCTCAGACTTTGAATATGAATCTGCTGAGTGACTGCGGGCATGAATAAAGCTGCTTCTTGGGAAAAAGGCCTTGGTGTCTGTCTCTCTACTTGAAAATCCTGAAGCATATAGATCAAGTAATTATATCTCTCTATATATCTATAGAGATATAGGGGAGGGAGGAAGAGCCAGTTTATTTCTGCTAAAAGCCATTAGCCATTATCATGAATTGCCCCAAGAAGGTAGGGTACATAGCAGAAGTAGCAATTGAATGGTGACTATTGCTTAGTGGTGACATAAGGAAAGAATCCAGAATTACTGTGCTAAAGGTAGTGACTCTTTTTTCGGTAGTGAAGAAAAGAAAATATGCCTCTTAATCCTTGGTTTCCACTCTCTTTATATTGGATCTATTTGTGGTATAATTTATACTACCATTGTCTGTTAAAAGAAATTCCTGAATCATTTCCCATCCAATTTAAGTAATTTAATGGTTATGGGGTTGATCTTATGGTTATCTCTAGTGTGTAACTTTATAATAATAATAATAATAATAACAATAATAACAGTATTATGCTAACAATTCTTGGTATGCTAAGTCATTCATATTTTCATTCTGGTGACACAGTATCTTTATTCAAAATGAGTAAGTACTGATTAAAATTTGATTACCATGTAAGCCTTATGCATAAATACCGTATAAAAATCCACTGATAATTTTGAAGTATAAATTGAAAGTTGAGGGATATCTCTATCTCAGGTCAAAGTTGTCAAAAAAGAATAAAGGACAAAAGAGATAATAGAAGAATGAAAGGAGTAATAAAAATATTTTAAAATTTCTAATAGTAGAAAATGTCAAATTAAAAGATACGCTATTTTTAAATAAACCAAAATAATTGTTAAGGTGACTCAGCCACTCTTACGACTGTTGAGTGGGATTGTACAATTGCAAAATACTTCTTAGTAATTTTTTTTTTTTGGTGGTACATGGGCTCAGCCATGCTTGGCAAGCACTCTATCATTGAATTATGCCCTTAGCACTTTCATTTTTTGAGATAGATTCTTACTAAGCTTTGCAGACTATCCTCAAACTTGCTCTCCTCTTGCCTCCGGCTTCCCAGTAGCTGAGGGAAAGTATACTAGGGATTGAACCCGGGGTCTTTGCACTGAGCCACATTTTGAGACATGGTCTTGTTAAATTGCCCAGGCTGGTCTCTAGCTCGCCATCTTCCTCCTTCAGGCTCCCAGAGTGTCTTAATACTTTTTTTTTAATGCACCTAAGAGTCTCCTATATGGAGATAACTGAAACTTCAACAAAGATATATTTATTCAACAGCATTTATTGCATTATATAAAGAATAAAATTTAATAGTCATAGGAGACTATTAAGTGAATTATATTCAAATGATGGAATAAGTTGATATTAAAATAGAGATAAATGTAGTGATAAGATTTGAGTAAATGTATAAAAATATTAAAGTGGTTATTATTAATGGTAGGATTACATATATTTTTATTTTCTTCTTTAAATCTTTCAATATTTTCCAATTTTTCTATATTAACATGAGATTTTATAGTTTAAAACTGCAATTCAAAATATCAGTCTAGGAAGAAAAATTTCATTTTTTCTTTATAGTTAATCCAGATTATTTTTGATGAGTGGAAATAATGAACTGATGACAATCTACCACAGTGATCTAAAATCATTAATATTTGTTCTTGTGTCTTGTACTTTCTTTAAAATGTGACTATTACTTATAATCCTTATAATTATCAGATAATTTCACATTGAAGTTGTTGAAACCTCAAGTCTAAAATGTGTTAGAGGAGAAAAATATGAATATCATAATTTCATGTCTATGTCAATGTTTCTAAGATAGAGTTATTTTTGGAGAGATTGGAGGATAGATATTAAGGAAGTAAAATTATTTTCCTTATTTCCTCTAAAACAAACTTGACCTTGCTACACTTTTCCTTTGATCTTCCCTTTTTTAATCTATCATTTTCTGTCCATATTTATTTAGACACCATTTGGCACATTCTTTTCATATTCTTTCTGCAATCTGGTTATGTGTCTTTCTTAAACGGATAACAAATTGCATATATTATGGTGGACAACATTATGCTTTGAAGTGTGTGCACATTGTGCAATGGCTAAGTCAACCTAGTTAACATATGCACTACTTACCGATTTTGTGCTAACACTAAAAAAATCTACCACCTTAGGAATTTTCAAGAATGCAATACATTGCCATTAACTGTAGTCTTCATGCTATGTTTTTGAAATTATTCTTATTTAAAAAATTTTTTGTGGTACTTTTTTTTCCTCGTTGAGTTTATTGGTACATTTTAGGTATACAGTATAGTTACATTCATCATTGGGCTCTTGTACCTTTACATGACAGGTCTTGGTTCTCATTTTTTCCCCTTACCCCTGCATTTAAAAATTTTTATCTTCTGACAAATAAGCAATTTCCACACTGACTAGTTACATTTTACAATTGCATACTTGGGTTTTGCTTCCTTGATTTTCAGTGCAAATGAAGCTACAAGCACGTTCAAAAATGCTTTTAAATTCAACATTCTTTAAAGCATTCTATACCCCTTTTTCTCTTATAGCATGATTTGTCTTGGAAACAATGAAAGACTGTTGGCGTTTACTTCTAGTGAGATGGGTTTGAAAGAGTACCTTGAAAAGAATGTAACTTCTTTCTGGAATCTTGAAAGTAACTAGTTTCACATGAATGAATCTTTTTTTCTTTATGAAAAACTAAAAAGATGCTTCAAGCTGTACCTAATGTTAGGTTTGGCATCACAATGAGTACATTAAAAATTTTGCAAAAAGAATCCTGTTGTGAAATTAGATGAAAAAACAGTAGTAAACTGAATTTCATTTCAGTATTTTTATAATTTAAATTGTTTCTGTCTGCCGTTTAAAAAGTCAGAGCTCCTACAAATGTGAAAGAAACCGAAGAATACCACTGCACAGTAATACACACATTAAGTGCTGAAGTGAATGCGACTTCTTGGGGAGAGCAAAAGTCCTTTACCGACTTAAAGTTACTATTTTTCACAAAATTTACACAATTGGGAAACACAGAAACCTCCTTTCCACCCGGGAAACGCGGAGCTACACCTCCAGTCTTTTTAAAAATATGCAGGGTCTTGCAAAATTGCCCAGGCTAGCCTGATACTTGCAATCCTCCTGCCTCAGCCTTCTGCACAGTGGGGATTACGGGAGTGCATATTTTCTTTTCAAAATTTGGGGTCAGTTTTTTCCCCAGGATATATATATATCTTTCTTTACTTCGGGTTATGAGATATCAGGGGTAATTTTCACTTGCTTCACGTCTTCAATGGCGATGTGTGTCCAAAAGAATGAAAAATGGACACACTTTTCTGTTAACATTCTCCAGCAATCACATATTCCTTGCCCTTTAATTATTTTTTCCACCACCACCCCTAAAGTATTCCTAAAGTACCCTCTCAGCACGATGCCCGAGAGTGTAGGGAACACACGCGGTAGTTCTCGCAGTGGGCTAGAGCGTCGCCACTGCGACTGCGGCCGCGCACGCCTCTACTAGGAGGGCGGGGAAAAGCCGGATCGGAAGTCTCCGCCCCCAGTCTGAGGGGCAGTGGTAGCCGCTAACCAGCGCGTCGCCCTGACAACGGCGCAGCGCGCACTCCACCACTTTAGGACCGGGAAACGCGAGGGCGGAAATCCCCTCGCTCCTTGGAAGGTGGGGGAGGAGACGGTGGAAGGAGTAACCGGTAGCGTCGCCACGGCAACGGCGCTCAGCATCCGCCGGCGGCGGAGAGGTGTGGCAGGGGGCGGGGAATTTAAACCGGGAGTCCCCGCCCTCGGCCTGCTGGGCAGCGGCGACCTAGCAAAGGTTTGAAACCTTTTGGCGGCGTCGGCAGCGGGGGCGTTGGCGGCGGAGCGGAAGGCTTGCAGGTAGGGACGCCGTCAGGTTCTCTTTTTTTCTGGTTTTAACCCCCTCTTTCCCTTCCCCGGGTTCCCGAGTGGAATTGTGCGCGGGGGTGGCCGCCCCGCCCCGTTCGGGGAGGGCG